CATTAATCAGTTTGGAGAGGATGGGGACAGCGGGTCTTAACCAAGTTCTGCAGGGCTGCTAAAGAAGCCCCGCATCATATGTTTGAAATATCTTGGTTGAAAGGGAAATAAAATAATCTCCATGCTATTTGCTTATTCTGTGCTTGTAGTTGAATGCCCCAAATAAATTATTTGTTATCCTGAGCCAGCTGATATGGTTAGTTCCTCCCGCCCTCCACCTCCAGCCACTGTTTTAACGAAACAACTTTTCTTCTACAGCTTGATTTCTTGAATTAAAATTTTGTGCTGCTGCTTGAATTAAAATTTTGTGCTTCAATCCATCTGTCAAAGAAGCGCAAAGCTGTTTCACTTTCCCTGATCTTCTCTCCCTCCCACCTTCTTTTTTCACTTCTTTTCATTGTTAGATAGCAAGAGAGACATTTTTTTTCCTGCCTCACTGATGTTCTATTCATTTGCATTGTGTCTTTAAAAACAAACAAAACAGCAAATCAAGGTGGTTATTGATTTGTATAGAAGGTGGGAAATGAAAGCTCTTCTGACAGATAAGCTGGGGGTGGGCAGAATTTTCACCCTTTTAATTTGATTCCATATAATAAGTACCTGTCAATTAAAAGAGAGATGAACAGGAACATTCAACCTTGGTGCCATTCTATAAATTACAGTACGATTCCTTCTATTTCACATGCTCAGCCTTGCTTAAGCAGTTAAAATACTATCAGAGGTATGAATAAATATGGGAATGTTCAAGAAATGCAAAAATCCTTAGAGGAAGGGGAGTCCACCAGGTATGGTAGGAAAGGTGAAGTTGGTGTCCATGACGGTGCAATCACAGCTCCACCAGACAGAGCTTCAATGGCACTGATGTGGCCACCATCTTGACTTTTTCAACCATACGTTCTGGGTACTCCTGCATCTAAGGATTGTTTGCATTACTTCAAGATTCCCATATTTATTTTTGACCATACCCATGCTTAGAGGGAAAAATGTTCCAAGGGTGCATCAGTTGCGGGGAAATGTAAGTTCCCCTCCAAAAGCTGACACTGAAGTGCAATCTTTGGGGAGTAATAATATCCATTGGATTTAAATGAATTTAATATAACTCAATCCTTGTCCTAGCTCACCTACTTCCAAGGAAAGACCGAAAGATCCTGCCTGCTAGCCCTAGAATGCTGACGGGATGGGAAGAATCATATCAGGCTTACTTCTTTTACTTGGTCCCCTTCAGACAGGATGAACTTCAGCTATAGGACCATACTGTACTATATAGTAATATAGTACCTACTGTACATATTGCACTCTGCTGTCTAGCCAGCATAGCTGAAGTTTATGACAGCTGAACTTGTGAATTATGCACTAGCAACAGAGTGCAAATTCCTTTCTTTCAATTTGGATCCACAATCCCACTTAATCCACTGTGTCAGACCCAATCCCACAGTAATATTTCCCAATCCCCCATTTCAAAAGCTAGGAGAACATAGCGCTAGAGTGTTGAAAGGAAGAGACTGATGCGCGAATCTCCACTTTGGTGCAAAACTCAATGAGGGACTAGACAGGCTACCAAATACCACTCTAATTGTTTGGTAGGATCCTTGTGAGAATAATGGAGAATGCTTCAGCCCCCACTTGCATTTCATCTGCTGGTGCCAAAGATCAATAGCATAGTTTGCTGACAGTTTCAGTCAAGAAAAACACAACAGTGTGAATCCTAAAGTAGATTTAATGCTTGTCTTCCTTCCAAATGTTTTCTCCACCACACAAAAAGAAGAGGAAACTAGAGAATCCCGTCTTCTTTGCTGGAACTCCATCCAGCATCAGTTGTGAACCATCTCTACATCATTTATGGCCCTTCCTCTGACACCAGAAAAATGAGCTGATGATATACATACATACATACATACGTACATACATACATACATACACATACATACATACATACACGCACAAACCAAAAATTGGAATTCCTAGGGAAACAAGGATAAAGTCTTTTTTTAAAAAAATGCATATTATGCAAAATGTTTTTATTCCCAGGAATTTTCCCAGGAATTCAATATTTTCATCCATAAGATCTCAGATGTCATCTTTTCTTATGTGAAATCTGAGATTTCAAACATGAAGCCAGATCAGATCTTGCTTGCTTTCCTTTTTTAGCTGGACAGGCAAAATACCAACCAGCTAATTAACCTGTGACTTTTTCAAGTCCCTGCTTCATGCTTTGTCCCCAGTGCTTCTTGGCTGGCATCCCCCAGCACTTGTGGCAAAGGTGTTCTCCCCTCCTTCACCCTTCCCAGCACATCCCATGGAAGGCCAATCAGAGAGACACCCCAACCCAGGAAAGAACACCCACCAAACCAGGTAGATGATACCCCTAACACAGCCAGTAGCTCAATCTATAACAAACAAGATGACTTTTTCAAGTCCCTGAGTAAAAAAGCTGGGAGTTGAAATCCACACATCTTAAAATTCCCAAGGCTGAGAAATACAGTGGTACCTCGGTTCATGAACTTAATTCATTCCGCGACTCTGGTCACAACCCGAATTGTTCACGACCCGAATCAAATTTTCCCATAAGGTTCAATGTAAATACGGTTAATCCGTTC